CTCAGGTCCCTTCCAACCCTACTAACTATGAAACTATGAGTCAGGCTTGGTGCTATGCCTGGTGTGCCAGGCATCTGCCCCACAAGTGTTGGCCTCTGCTGGAAGTAGAAGACTGGGACTTGAGGACGGGTAGGGCAGGCGAGGAAGGTTCAAGAAAGCAGGGAGGCACCACTCCCTCAGTGCCAGCAGTACTATCAGGCTGAGGGGTGGACACCTCCTGATGGGATGGCATATCCTCAAGGTCTAGTAGCTTCTTTCTCCCTCACCCCCTGGGTGCAACCCCCTCCCTCCCCCGACTCTGTAGCCCGTGCCCTGCATTAACCTCACACTTCTCTCTGTCTTTTGTTGAAGGTGCTGGGCTTTGAATGAGAACATGGCCTACTGGTGGATTATCCGCATCCCCATCCTGCTGGCATCCCTGGTACGAGATCTCAGATGTCTTTTCTTGTGTCTAATATCAAATGATACAGGGGCTGCTCCATTCCAAGAGCAGCAGAGCTGGTCACTGCCATGGCAGCTTGGCACAGGGACAACTGCAGCCTCTGGGAACAGCCCGTGCCCTGGACAGCCCAGCCTCTGCTAACTATAGAGCTGTACCCTTCTCTAATGGTACCCAATGAGTTTCCCCTGAGGGGGAGCTCAGTATCATCACCCATTGCATAGCTGAGAAAGAGGCATAGAGTGGGGAGGGACTTGCCCTAAGACACTCAGGAAATAGCACAAACACCTTTTGGCCTTTGCTTACCTGCAGCAGGTATCAGAGCAGGGAGACTTGTGCTCACCAACAGCTGAACCTCTCTGATGAAGATAAGGCAGAATTGTATGTGGTACCCAGGGTACATCCCCTCAGATCCTGACCTGGCTGTTGGGGTAACCAGGGGGAGACACCAGGAACACCATCCCAGCTGGTATGGAGAGCCTAAGGGAGGAGTCAGCAATGTTTTGGGCCAAGTGTCAACAAATCCTACAACCTTAACTTGGAAGAGGTTGGTGTGCCAGGGGCAGATGGCGGGGGAGCCACAAGGGGCCTGATCCTTGTGCAGCCCCAGCCCCTTCTCTGCCATCTGCCCTGAGACGTGTGCAGCTGCTGCCAGCAACAAACCAGGTTGGGGCTCTGGACCCCCGTGCAGCCATTTGTAGCCTTGTAGCTTCCTGCTACAAGCAGCCTGGCTGATCGCAGACCACCAGGCTCAGGTTCCTGCCCAGAGCATGGGCTGCTTGTAGCAGGTGGTGAACAGCCCGGGCTTCATGGCAGATGGCAGGGTCCTGCCCAGAGCTGAGGTGGAATGAGCAAAATGGCTTCACATGCCATGTTCTGGCATGTGTGCCAGGGGTTATCAGCCCCTGGCCTAGGGCATCCTGGGAGACCGCTCTGGAGTCTGGCTGTGGCTTGATGGTGTCCTATAGTGTCCAAGCCTGTAATTACACGCGTTGCTATGGTGTCTTGGTTATCTGAATGCTCTTGCTGTCATGGGCCTTGGGTCATTCTCCAAAACTGCATCCTCCTCCCAAGAGGTTGGTTGCCACCCACTCCCTGCAGTACACAGGGGTCCCTGCCCACCCACTACTTCCAAATTAATTCTGCATATTCATGGCAGATTGGGTAGGTTAGAAGGCGGAACCGTGAGGGCTAGGATGTGGCAACACACAAGGGCATGCTGCCTGAGTGAAGTCACCCCCCAATGTTCCTTCCTCTAGATTAATCTGCTGCTCTTCATGAGGATTCTCAAGGTGATCCTGGCTAAGCTGAGGGCAAACCAGAAGGGCTATGCTGACTACAAGCTCAGGTGAGTGCATGCTGCAGCTGGGTGCCCATAGGTGTACATCCAGTGGAGACCAGCTTCCTAACAGGGTCTTTCCTTCTGGCCATTGAGGTCAGGCAACCTGGCGCCATGACGTGGGACCCAGGCAGTGGGTGTTAGCAAGGAGCAGCCAGCACAGGCTCTCTGCTGCAAATGTGTACGTGCGCACATATGCAAGCACATGTCCACACAGACTCCTGGCCAAAGTTGCAGGACAGGGGTTGCTAACCCTGAGGGCTGCTAAGAAATGTGGCAGAGGCCCTGGGGACACACACCCACATCATAAAATCAAGTGTGTTGCAGTCACCATTGCTTTCACGTCCTGCAGGGCACGAGTGCCAGCCAGCTGTGTCCCATCCCTGCCTGGGTCCATGCTGGGGCTAAAGCTGTTTGGGAGGTTTTTTGACAGAATGGGGATTTTGTCAGAAAATTCCATTTGGTCAAATCTGAAGTTGTTTTGTGGGAACGTGCTGGTTCTGATGGCACATCCCCTAGGACATACTTCTTGGGTCTGGGCGGGGGGAAGCTTCTAGTCAAGAGACTCACCCAGAACAGCTTGGTGGTCGTGGCAACATGGAGAATGCGGAAGACCTGGGTACCAACTCCTGCTCCAGTGAATGTTTAATCATCTGTATAAAGTGGGACAGCTTGAGCAGGAGAGACTGAAACTTGCCTCAGCAGAGCCAGCAGCCTGGTGGGTGGAGTGCTCACCTGGGATACGGGAAGAAAGTGGAGCAGGGACATGTAGGTCCATGCTAGGGCGATGCCTACCCAGCACCTACTGGCTCACTGGGGGTAGGGCTCTCCTCACTTCCTCCCCAGGTTTCCTTCTGAGCCTAAAACATTCTTGTTTTGCATCTCAAATAGGTTTGTGGGTTCAGAGCATCATTCCCTGCCCTGTCTCTCCCTCCCTCCCAGGGTGCTGCACTTGCAAACAAGGGGAGCTGCAGGCAGTTGTAGTGGTGGGAGGGGTGCCAGGAAGGGGGGTGTTCACCATCCCATTTCATTTCCCACCTGCAATCCACCTCCTCCCAAGCCCCTCCAACTTCTCTGCTGTCTGGTCCCTGGCAAGCATCCAACTCTAATAGCTGACTCAGCTGCCACTAGCCAGTCCCATTTGTCCATCTTTCACATAGTCAAAGAAACAAGAACTGTACAGTCTTTCCTAACTAGTCTCCCAGCACCCTGCAGGACAGGCAGCCAGTATTATCCCCTAATTGACACCTGTCCCATTTGACAGGCAGGGAAAGAGCTAGGACTGGAACTCCAGCAATCTGCTCTGAGCATTTCACCCACTGCCTGCATCAGGCCTCCAAACACAGGCCCTGTTCCCTCTCCCATTAACTCTTGTTGGGGATGGGAATCCTTTTTGCTTCCAGGTTGGCCAAGGCCACGCTGACCCTCATCCCGCTCTTTGGGATCCACGAGGTCATCTTTATCTTTGCCACAGATGAGCAAACTACGGGGATCCTGCGCTACATCAAGGTCTTCTTCACACTCTTCCTCAACTCTTTCCAGGCAAGTCAGGAATGCTAGGGAGTTGGGAGCCCTGCACTGGGCAGGGACAGTGACTGCATTCTTCCCCTCTGCCCAAGCCAGAAAAGAGCATGGGCCTTTTCCTCAGTTCATCTATGGAAGCCAGTCAGTACACTTGCCGCAAGCTGCATTCCCTCCTTGGACCCTGTGGCTGGTATCAGAAGGGCTATGTGCTCTATACTGGGAGGAAAGCAAGGGTGTAAATGCATTCAGGTCCTATTAGGGGCTGGTGGAACTGTTTCTGGTTGGCCACCTAAATAAACACACATCCTAATAGAAAGCTTCCTCAAGAGGCCAGGGGCAGTGACATGGGAGCTGGGGTAGGACATTCTGCTGCTCATGGCATGGGTGGGCTTCCCCCTCTGGAGGGGCTCAGTTGTAACGGGCTGCTATTCTGTGCCCCAGAAGCAGGCCGTGAGGTACATTCAATATACTGAACAGCAGCTACCAGCACCTGCTCAAGCCAGATTGAGCACCCTGTTGTCTGGCTCTCATGCCTGTGCTCACTCTCTCTCTCTCCCAACAGGGTTTCCTGGTTGCTGTATTGTACTGTTTTGCCAACAAAGAGGTAGGCACCCCTGTGCTCTGTCTGCCATGCAGTTATTCTATAGACCTCCCTTAATCCAGAGTCCTTACTAGCTGGCTATGCTCTGACTGACCAAGAACACGCGCCCTTGCTGGTGAGGACTTGGGCATGGACCATGAATGATGCCGAGTTCTGTGGCAGCTAGTAGAAAGGGGCTGCCCGGGAAAAAACACCTCACACACTCCTTTTCTTTTGGGTAGGTGAAGTCTGAAATGAAGAAGAAATGGCAGCTCTGGAAGTTAGACCACCCCATGCTCTTCTGCACACAGTGATGACACTGGCACAGCGCCCAGCTCACTGCCTGAAACCCAGGAGAGAGCCATGAGGATCCCAATTATTAGAGGGGCAGACCAAGCCAGGACCTGCCCCTGCACCTATTACCGCATGGTAGCTGGTACCACACCTCTGCTCTGCTCGTGCCCAACTGCACCGGGGATAGCAGATGCTGTGCAGTAGGGAGGATGACTTGGAGCACTAGCCAGGCATGAGGAGTGCTGTTACTGGTTGTGCTGGTAGTAGGGCAAAGCAACTGTTTCCAAAGCACAGCTGCACCTGACAGCCTTGCATACTGGCAAAGAGACTGCACTAGCTGTGGTATGGGGGACACTGGGATCCTTCAACACTGAGCCCCCTCCACTGTAGCTGAACAGCAAATTCTGAGGCACAGTTGAGCAGAGATAGACTCTGTGCTTTGAAAGACACATAGCCATGGCTGTATTTTCTGGAGACACAGGAGGCTCATAGAGAGAACTCCTTTGCGGTTTAGTGCATAGCAGGACACTGAAGGCCCAAGGCGGGTGGGTGGACAGTAGGGCTGTGCGAAACGGCACCATCCCATTTCAACTTGTGTTTCGACAGAACAGCATTTCGTTTCGAATTTCATTTAGATTCAAAACTACTGTTCCGTTTCGCCCATAGGCTATAATGGGAAATCTCAAAACAGCCTATAACTGTGTCATTTCTGGTCTGATGATTTGGATGAAACGTGCAGGAATAGCAGCCCCTTCTGAGGGCATGAATCCTGCCAAGTTTCAAGGAGATAGGTGCAGGGGTTTCAGGGAAACTGCACCTCCAAGTCTTGAAAGCAAAAAACTCATGTCATGTGTACGTGTTAAACCACAGCAGGGTCAAAACTGCAGGGGTGGTAGCCCCTGCTGAGGCAACGAAGCCTGCCACGTTTCAAGCAGATAGATGCACCTCAAGCTTTGTACAAGCAAAACTGATGACATGGGTGGCAGTGTGTTAAGGCACAGCAGGGTGAAAGCTGCAGGCTGCTAGCCCCTCCTGAGGCCACAAAGCCTGCCAGCTGTCAAGGAGATAGGTGCAGGGGTTCTGGGGCCCTGCACCACTAGCTGCTGACAGGCAAAACTCATGACATTGGTGGGGGGGGGTGTGCACGTGTGCGTGCATGTGTGTTAAGATGCACCCTCACTCAACTGACACCAAAGCAGAAAGCAGGGTAGTTCAAACAATGCTACCTTTTATGCTGTTTTTCCATCCCTCCCCCAGAGCACTGGGATCGGAAGAGACCTCAGGAAAGGATGACAGTCACTGGCTAGCTACAAAATCAATAATGAGAGCACATTCCTTCCCCCTCCCTCTCCTTGCTTTATGTTTCCCTGCAGGCAAGCCCAGCTTGAGCTTCGAAACTCTAAACGTTTCTAAATTTTTGAAATGTTTCGACTTGCCTCATTTCATTTTGAGGCTGTTTTGAAGCTCTTTGTTTCATTTCGATTTTGCTGTTTTGAGCTCAAAACGAGTCAAAACAGCATTGAAATGCAACTGCCGGCAAAATTTTGCACAGCCCTAGCGGACAGTCCCCCGACTCCTAGTAACCTGATGGTACAGCACCTGATATCTACCTCCACAGGATGAAACCTGCATCAGTCAGAACTGCATCCAAAAAGTTTCCCTTCATCCGCATACCTCTGGATACCTGCAGGAGAAACATGCAGGGATCGTGGTAGCTGGGAATGGCAGCTCTGTCACCTGCTGCCACTGGTACAGTAAGTGCAGAGATCACAGACCTGACTGGGCAAGGACTTGGGTGTTCATAGTGTTCTTCTGCCAGCATGATGTCAAAGTATTAGCTGGTGCAGTGCAATCAGCCAAGTGCCAAGAGGTGCTCCCTGGAAAGCCTGGGCCCAGCTCCTTTGACACAAGCTTACCTAAGGACTAAGCTTGGAAGCTGAGGACCAAGGCCAGTATGTCCCAATCAGGACAATCCTACCAAAAACCATAGGGAAACCTAGCCAGTCCTCAAGGTTAGCAAAGCAGGCAATAGGAGCTTTCTACAACGTGGACCCGTGGGCATGAGAATCTGAACACCAGCAGCTCTACCCAGATCACTCAAGAGCCACCAGCTGGGCATGTTTTCTATACCAATAATGCTCTAGTTGCACGTGAAGTCTGAACCTCACACATCTCTGGAGGGACACAACATGATGCACAGGGTGGGTTATACCAATAGTTGTTCTGGAGCACAACAAGGGTTGATGCTGCACAGGATGGGAAGGAGCTGTCCCAGACCTCCTTGGGTGTGGCTGCATCCAGGTTGGAGGCCAGCTGGTCAGTTGTGCATGACCTTTTGTTAGCTACAGAACTGCTGATCCAGGGGCCAGCACTTTGCACATTCAATGTCTTTGCACATGTAAATAAATGTTTAATTTTTTAGCAAATGTGCTGCTCTGCTCTGCCAGGGACTGCCAGCTGGGCAATGAGGAAAGGAAGGCAGTAGCTGCAGGCCATGGACCTGTGCTCAGACCCCAGCCTCAGCCCAGGACAGGCCTGGAGCAAGGAGCTGGGAGTTGAAGCCTCGCTCCTCAGGCTCAGGTTGGCATCACAACCCCCTGTGCTGCACCTACTCTTTAGAGCTGCCAGCAGGTGGAAACCCAACCTGAACTAGGGGTGACTAATATGCCTCAGCCTAATGCAGAGACCCTACACTCCACAAGTGCTTCACTGGTTCTTTTTGTATTTCAGTTAGGGCTGCTGTGAAAATGCAGTAGACAGATTCCCACCACACAGCTCAGTGCTGCCTCCATTCCTAGCAGAACGCTGCAAAGGTCAAAGGGCACAGCAGAATGGTATCTGAGCTGACACAAAGGTCACTTCAGCAGTGCTGGCCAATAGCAGAGTGCTAGACTAGGACACAGGGAAACTTGGGTTCTCTTCCTGGCCTCAAAAGGCACCAGAGCCATTGAGCCACTTCCTTCACAAGGGAACAGGTGCAAAGAGCTTTGGTTCTGTTCAGAAAGAGACTCAAGTCCTGCCACATTCACTGCCAGGAGACAACATTAGAAATAGGGCCTGAGCAGGCCAAAGCTAATGTCTGCGGGGATGAAATAGGAAAGGTTGGTCAAGGGGCTTGTGAAATTCATTGCATCATGGAGGTCAGAATGAGACCCCAGGTCAGGTCACTAGCATCTTTTCACAGCACCATGTCTGCACCAGGCTGCCCATTTGAGTGTATGTGTATCTCTGTAGGGGTTGTCAGAGGCCTGATATAATTAATTCTTACTAAGGGAGAAAGAATGCCCAGCTCCAAATACAGCGGTAGGGATTCTCCATGCTCCAGAGGGGCCCACAGGCAGGGGACCAGAAGCAGCCTATTTCTAAATGAGCATTTTGTTTAGCAACTTAAGATAACCAATTCCTTTGCTTCCCCATGCAGGGCAGGCCTAGCCCATCTTTACTGCCTGATGCAGAGAGAACTTTGCGGCATTAGGTTCTGTTAGAGAGCTCTGCTTAAGGGCTCGTCCCCCTCATCCCCATGGGCAAACTGACCCACTGCAGCAAGTGTAGTCTCATGCAGACAGACTTATGGAACTCAATGGGCAACCAGCATGCAAACCCACCCACCCTTATATCAAAACAAGGAAAGACCCCAAGGGAGGCATAGGTTTATAGTGAATGAGATGAGTCCTGAGCAACCTTTCCATTCTAGACCTATGCTGCTGCTGCAGGCAGGGATGTAGTTTAACATAGCTAAGCTTCAATGGCAGTGCAGAATCTGCTGTAACTTATGCCAGGGATCACAGAGGTTCCTAATTAGTGTGTAATAGATTAAACTCAAGTGGTATCTTAAAACTAGTTTTATACCCCCTCCCCACCCTTCCTGCAAGAGCTGAGCTGGAGGAACAAGCAGCCAGGCTCAAAGTGTTACCAGTGTAGCCAAGTGTCCCACTCTAGCCAAGCTCTCCTTTCTCTCTCAGAGACTTTACCTTCTTTTGAAGGGTTCACAGGCTCCGTTTCAGTGAGATCCCTATCCACAGATACTGGAATCAGAGACACTAAAAGGGAGAGTAAACAGTGCTGCCAACTCCTGGAACTCTGCTCTGAGCCATGGCAGGAAAACCTGCTCCCCCCCCCCACCACTCTGCTGATCCTGCAGACCTGGCCAAGTGAGCACCAACAGATCCAAATCATTGATTCATTTGCAAAACACACAACAGTTTTGGTCTCAAGTTTCAAAGTAAAACAGAAGTACACAGAAGTGCCACCCCCTGAGTATACTGGTGAGTCACGAGCCACCTTGGGAACCACCTCCACTCAGCTGCAGGAGTCAGGAAGGTGCAGAGACACCCAACCAAACAGATTTTGTGGGACAAATTGCTCTAGGTGCTGCCTCCACTGCATGCAGAGTAGTGTTGCAGTCGACTGGAATGGCCCACTCTCTATGGTAACAGGCAGCTGACTGGAGGGTGGTCCCAGCCCAAAGGGTGGGGTCAGAGTTTGCACTTTGGTGTTTGTAGTCAAGATCCACTGTAAAAAAAAATCCAGCATCCCTCCCTTTTTATCAGTTAAGAACAACCACTGCATTGTAAGTTCCCTGCAGCAGGGCTATGGTCTTTTGCCAGGGGCTTGGCAATGCACACAAAGTCAAGGCACAAATCGCTGCACAGTATTGGAAGTCACCTCGCAGAAACAAGTCACACTGAGCCCTGTGAGCCTGCATACAGGTGGGGACCAGCTCCTGGAGCAACTGGCAACCACAGCAACTCTAGCTACAGACAAGCAGGGGGCCAGACATCTCCAAGGAATAGAGCAGCATGTGGGTGTTGGCGGTTGGGCCAAGTACCTAGTGCAGGCAATCTCCTTCTGTAGCATCTGCTAATGGAGCTCCCACTTGCTCTTTGAGAAGTCCCAGCTTCTGGGATGCAAGGACAGATAATGAAGAAAGCCCCTTCCAGAAGCCCCCAGCATCAAAAGGCATACTGCAGGGAAGTGCTTGAACACTTGCAGCATTTTCAGAGCTGCAGACTAGGAAGAAGTTTCTTTTGCTCAGCTCTTCAGACAGCCCTATTTTGCATCTTCTCACTTCTGTGCTCATGAATCACAGAGCCCATCTACCCCATTTCCAGCCTGCATGAGAGCACAGCATAGAGATGCAGCTGCTTTCCACTGCACCTCACAGCCCCTGGAACAAGAACAGGAGCCCAAAGCTGAGGCAGGTGTGAAAGCAAGTTCTTAGTTCTCACAGGAGTGAAGAGGAGATTTCATAATGTGGGGAAGGGATCCTTCAAGATGGGCACTCTTGATGTTAGAGGAGAGAGTGAGGACTCAGAAAACAGCCTTAGCTAAGGCCAGCACTGAAAGTGATGGGTTGTGAGACCAATGGTCAGAATGTGACCCCAGAGGGACATTTTACAGTGCCCGGTGCAAGGCTGAGACCCCTGCTCCCAATGCTCAATATGACCAAGCACCTGTCACACACAAGTGCATAGAGGGCAGGCCTGAATTCACAGCAGGCAAGAGCAGTCGATGCCACCTCCTTGCCATGTTTTTAACTCATGTGTTGGGAGCACTTTCAAGGCGTATGTGTTATAG